CCCTTTCTTTTACTTTCTTTCTTTCTTTTTTTCAAGACAGGGTTTCTCTGTGTAGTTGGTGACTGTCCTGGAACTTGCTCTGTAGACCAAGCTGGCCTTGAACTCAGAGATCCGAGAGCTGGGATTCAAGGTGTGCATCACCACTGCCCGGCTGAGGCATTTTTCCTAAGAATGGGAACAACGGGTCTGCCTACACATTTAACATCTGTGTGCTCGCTGCAGGCAGGTACTGTTCTGAGGGCTGGGGACAATAAGGTCCTAGCTTCATGGGGCTCACAGAAGGAACAGATGATGAGGGGAGGCTGATATAGTAGGTGGGTGAGCAAGCATTAGCTCAAGATGACACTGTTCCAAAGTGCCCTCATTCAGAGCCATGCAAGAATAGGCATTACAGTCTTGTTCCCAACAACAAAAATATGGGCACCACAGCCATGACTGTGGCAACATGGAGATATCTTTAAAATGTTGAGTAAGGTATATCCCAGAGGACTTCATCTCACTTAACACTATCATTATTATTATTATTAAAAAAAGCACTGTTCAGGCACGTGATGTCCAAATTGGGATTGAAAGGAGACAAGTCCATGTGTTTGGATCGGGGCTATGACACCACTTTGAGTAAACTGGAGTGTATAGAGGCCTGCTCGTGGATAATAAACTCAAGAACTCGAAGGGCAAAGAAAGATGCTGGGGACCACCTGTCGGCCTGGCAGGAGTGTACACAGATCATGACATGTCCGTGTTGTGTGGGAGCGTGAGGGGAAGGGGGCTTCCCGGGAGATGAGTGTGTCCTCAGAAGGAGCCCCTCTGAGGAGCTGTGGGAGGGTTCAAGGGGAAGGGACTTGAGCAGGTAGTGCCTGGTGGAGTACAGGTCTCAGAGCTCTCCCCTTGGAGAAGGCTGCCCACAGCCCAGTGCAGTACGGCTGCAAAACTCAGAGCTTTCCTTCATCAGCTAGCAAAGCCTCGCCTGTAGGAAGAAAACAGCCTTAGTAGGGGAGCTGGGAAGCCTGCGAGTTCCTGCTCCCTTCTCAAGTTGGAGTGTAATTCCAGGTCTACAGATCTTGAGTCTATGTCCTGTGGGTTTCTGACAAATCCTGCATTTCTGAAGCTACCATGCTGATCAAAGTATAGAAACTGCATCCCAGTAGCTTCCTGCCAAGATTTTCAACCTTGGTCACCATTGCTCAGATGTTGTGGTCACCTCTCTTAATTTTAAAAGACATTTTCCCCTGAAACAGCCCTAGTGGAGAGGGGGGATCTCACACTCTGGAGACCTTTGCCAGAGCCCCTAAGCTTGAGGCTAGCGTTGGCACTGGGTAAAGTGGCCCTCGGGCTCACCAAGCTCTGACTTGACCATATCAAGACTATCAGGACACAAGAGCCCCAAAGCCTAGGCGCCAGCAGTACAGATCAATTATCCCGGCTCCATGAAGTCATTATTGGGCCCTTGGGCACAGTGACTGTGCCAGAGAGAGGGTACTATTGATGCAAATCAGTGAGCAGATGATCTCAATCTATAGGCACCACCTGACCTGCTGGGATCTAGCAAGCAGGCCAGTTACCTCAGGCTTCTCCCTCAGCCAGCCACATACTATAGGTGTGGGCCGGATGGGTATGGCCCAGGGACTGATACTATTTCGTCAACATTCCCTATCCTCAGTTGTGGGGAAGGAGATGAGTCCAAACTTGTGGTTAATATAAATGATACATGTGTTTGGCTTTGCCATGGGCTCATATGCTTCACTCCTCTGTGGTCAGGAGTGTCTCATGGTAGAGGAAACTACAGTGGAGGAACCTGAGTCAGCCTCCTCTTAGGCTGCCTTCTCTCCAGCCAAAGAATCTTGAGTTTCAAAGAATGTCTTACCGAGCTGGGGCTGTGGCCATAGACTGATATAAATAGATGTCAGCCAGACTACATGTGTTCACACTAGTTGAGAACTTGCAAATGAGGTTTGCCTCAAGGAGCTTTGCAACATGGTGCTCGAGGACACTGCTTTTATGACGAGCAGACAGACTGTGTTCTGCAGGCCATGTACTAGCTGAGGACCCTCACCCCCCGTTAATCAGTCTCACCGAGGCTGATTACTCATCTGTAACCTGAAGACCAAAAAGTCCTTAGGCATGGGACAGATGGGCTCGGCAGGTAAGGGTGCTTGCTTGCCGCCACACCTGGCAACCTAAGTTCAGTATCCAAGCCTCGTATGGTGTAAGGAGAGAACAAACTCCTGCAAGCTATCTGCTGAACACGCACATGCACACACACACACACACACACACACACACACACACACACACGTAAACATTTTAAAGAATTCTTAGGACTCACAATCCAGTGAGACATTTATGAGGCCCTTTGTGTGAGCACCAGCACAGATTTGGAGCTGAGAGAAATCGGTGCACCCTCCCTGTTTATACCCAGGTAACCAGTCCCTGGCGTCCTACTTGGGGAGGGGTGGTGAAGCATCCCTGGACTATCCAGTGAAAGGGACTAACGATGTTAGGAAATTCAAACTCATGGGAGCAGACCCCTGCTCCAGAGACCACTGTGTGGCCAAAGCCAGGTGGCATCCAGAGTGTCAGGAAAGAAGGGGCTGGGGTCACTTGGCTGTGAGACTCTAGCTGATCTGGGACTACTGAGGCAGCCAGTCCCTGAAGACTGAGCATTTGTCACAGACCAAGCACAGTTTTGGTCCTGAAGGAACAGCAGTCTTTGATAGGCAGCACCACACTCCACTTGGCAGAGAGAGAGAGGTGCTGACCGATCAGAACCCACACATGGACATCTTTCTTGGGACCTAAAATCTAGATCTAGCAGGCAAAAGGGTAAGTTACTGTAGGTCTGGCTGTGTCTTGAACTGCCATTCTGATCAGAAGTCCTGATCATCAGCAACTGATGAACCCTCACATGTGACTCCCAAGAAAGCCCTGATTTGGGAGGCCACACTCCTCCCTCAGCCACCACAGGAATTCAGTGCACATGTGAGCCTCGGCACACACAAAGGCCTCACTGGCTATGAAAGAAACATGAATCTAAGTCCAGGGACAAGGACAGCAAATATGGGGACCCACATGACTGCCCCCCTTCCACACACTCTGAGCAGACATCAATAATTGATGGCAGCTATCTTCATGGCATGATCTCCCAGTTGTATATAAAGGGAGCCTTCCAGGCCCAAATTAAGGTACCATGCCAGACAGAAAATGTTGACACCCATGTAAACAGCACTTTTTGCCCTTCCATGTTCATTCTCAAAAACCCTGGGGGCTGAGAGACGCCACGTGTGTGATGGTTGGGAGTGTTCCCATTTGACAAGATAACAGACAGGAAGAGGTCAGTACCTGGGTGAGGGTATATATACAGGACATGGGAAGAGATCGGGTGTGAACATAGAAGGCTTCGTGGGGCTGTGAGTATTTTGGGTGCAGTCTCCAGCACCAAGCGTCCATTGCAATGCCTCAGAAAATTGAGGAAATCGAGGACTTTCTGCTCACAGCCCAGCAGAAGGATGCCAAATCTGTCAAGATCAAGAACAAGGATAACGTGAAGTTCAAGGTTCACTGCAGCAGGTACCTTTACACCCTGGTCATCACAGATAAAGAGAAGATTGAGAAGTTGAAACAGTCACTGCCCCCTGGTTTGGCAGTGAAGGAGCTAAAATGAACCAGACCTCTGTGTTTTGACTATGAAAAGTCAAGAAAAGAGAGAAAGCTACGTGGAGGCCCATATTGAACTCCATGTGATCTTGACCTCTATTAGAAAGACATGTGGGGCAAAAGTGAGTTTAGCTGCACCCACCACCCAGCTTTGAACAACTGAGGAGGTTGTTTTGAGGATCTTCCTGGGTGTGGTAGTACACATACACACACACAATAGACGGTGTGGTGGGAGTGGAGAACCATGGGTATCCTTGGGCTCCAGCCTGACTGCCTTGTCTCATCTGGACTGATCTGTGGAGGGCAGCGCCCGGGAGGGAGTCCAGAGGCAAAGATCACAAACAGTGCCATGTCTGATCAATTGATAGTGGTTCCCTGGGGTGCTGTGAGAAAGGACTAGAAGGTCATGCCAGAAAGTCAGCTGTCATCAATTATTGATGTCTACCCAGAGCGTGAGAAAGGGATGGTCATGCGGGTCCCATATATTTGCTGCCCTTGTCTTTGTGCATTCATGGACAGAAGATTCAGGGTTCTGTCAAAATACAGCATCCTGGACAGAAGAAGACTTGGTGGGTAAGGGCACTTGCCCCTAAGCTGGACAACCTGAAGTTCAGTCCCTAGGACCATGTGGTACAAGGGAGGCTGACTTCTGCAAGTTGTCCTCTGACTCCATACAAATGCTGCGGCACATATGGCCACACATACACATATAAAGAAATAAATGCAATGACAAGTTTTTTTTTTAAGAAACCACACAGCACACCGACAGCAGACATTCACTTATGAAACAGAGGACTGGAAACGTCTCAAAGCAGTGCTGCCCAGCCCAGCGAGCTCATGCCCTGCCTGTTAGGGTTGTCATTACATTTGCCAGAAATGGACCGGTAAACATGGGATAAGCACCTGTGCTGTGCTGGGCACAGAGGACCCCCAGCTAAGCCCATCAAGGCTTCTGCCCTGTCAGCAGATGTCATTGGTAGGGTATCAGTAATCCACAAGCTATTTCCTTGGGGAAGAGTCTAAGGTCAAGAACAGGAAGTCACCTAGAAGTAAAAAGAGTAAAGGCTCTGACTATAGAGGTGGCCAAGTTCTTCAAGCAGTGGGCATTTTCTGAAGACCACTCTTCCATTTTGCCTTGTGGGGACAAGCCTTTCCAGGCAGCTAGAACTGCTTCTCACACTGTAACAGCTTGTGAGTCACTGGAGGGAGAGGGCTTGTTAAAATACAGGTTCTGATTCAGGAAGGATGCTGCAAGGCTAAGGACCCCCCCCCCTTTTTGTTTGTTTGTTGAGGAGGTGGTTTTGCTTTGTTTAGAGACAGGGTCTCACTCTGTAACCCTGGCTGGCCTGAAGCTCCCTGTATAGACCAGGCTGGCCTCAAACTCGCAGAGATCCGCCCCTGCCTCCTGAATGCTGGGTTAAGGGCATGGCACATTTCTAACAAACTCAGAGGATGCTTGGAGCCTCAGGCCCACCCTACGGGCTGCTGTCCTCTCAGTCTCCCAGAGATCAGAAACTAACAGCAGGAACTGGGAAGTAGAGGAGTCGGGGAAGTCAGGCAGGACTTGAGTTTGGAGGCTGAAAGCAAACAAAACTCCCTACATCGAGCCAGAAATCTAGGTGTAAGGACCCGACCCTGGGTCTGGCAAGATAACCTCACCTAGGAGAGGGCTGGGCTGCTTAGGAACTAGGGGCAGCAGAGACGCGGCAGAACTAGACTCCAGCATAAGCTAATGGATTACAAACCTTCATATGGTCCCGGAAGTGTCCATCAGCAAGTATTCAGCAAGTGATTATGAATGAGTGAATAAGTGCGATTGGTCCAGGTAGATCCAGAAAGGAGAAAAAAGGTGCCTCTATATGACAACACCCTCCTCACCTCTCCACCAGACCCAGGCAGGAACTTGATCTGCACCAGGTGGTCTGGAAGCCCGTGACCAGCCTTCACTTGTTGGAAAAGCATGCTCCTTTGATCCTGTATTGCTCTAGGTTGATGCTTTCCCAGATCTTTTGGGGAAATACTAGACTTGTCTGCTGCAGAGCCTGGCAAAATTTAGGGCTGGTTAGATCCCCACTGACCACATAGCTGTATCCACGGGGCGGTGCTCTGTGCCAAACACATCGCCTATCTGCATCCCACCGCCCCGCTGTGGAGCAGGGTATTATGTATTCTGGGCCAAGGTCGCAGACCCGATTCTGAGCCAGGCAACCACACCCATGCTCGGGAGACAGCGCCCCCTAGAGGTCAAGGCGAGGCAGTGGCATGAGCAGAGCGTGGGCCGTGAGTGCCCTGATTGTAGTGAGCCACCAAGCAGGGCAGTCGTGAATGGCGTTTCTTCCAAAGACACCCGCTGCTGGGTTGGGAGTATAACTGAACCGTTTTGTAAGAGTGTCTCTGAGCCTTTCACACCATAAATCCCCTGAGCTTCAGACCTGGAAGTTAACGTCTCCACAGCCCCAACCCCAATCAAGCTCCCATTTTACAGACAGAGCAGGAGAAGCGGCTTGGCCAACGTCCCGGGACTCGTTAGCGATAGGGCGGGGCTGGAAGCCGGCCTCTGCCACCCGCATTGCATCCCCACCTCCAGGCCCAGTCCCAAGCAGGGCGCTTGTTCTCAGCACGCTTGGTACCTACCAGGGACCACGTTCTGGTGCTTGGTAACCACCAGGAACCACGTTCTGGTCCAGAGAGGCCTGGCAGCCATGGCTCGCTGTGCGCTCCCCCTCCCCGCAAGGGGTCATAGCTCCTGGAAGTCCGGAATCTCTTGCTAAATGGTTCGACAGCTCTAAGCCATGAAACTTCGGTCTTGCTCTGGTTGACACGGCACGTTGCACGTCGCAAGGTTGGGGAGGCCCAAGGCCTCCAAGATTCCGACCCAGATTAATCTGAGTTCCAAAATGCAGCAGCCAGGCAGAAGCCGACATCCCCTAGGGTAGCCAGGACACTATAGAGACCGCAGAATCGGACTTTCTTATGGCTCCTGGTCCCTGTACTAATCCTGCTCAGGTCTCTGAGAACTTCTACCAACTGTCCTTTCTCATTTCCCCTCTCACAAGAACTGGAATGCGGTCCAGATTGCCCTCCAGTTGATCTACCCTACACAGAACCCTCAACAACCTCCCCTTCACAATCAGCCTGAACCCAGCAAGTGGCCCTCAAAGAGGGGTTCCCAGGTGGCAATCGTCACATTCTGGGTCCACTGTTAAAGGAACTGCTCAAGGAAAACCATAAGGAGCCTGGCAGATGCTTCTGGGGCACACTAAAGTGTGAGGGCTAGTGATCTACACCTTCATTCCTTCACATATCCACTGGTCCATCAGTGGAGGAGGGCCCCTCAAGTACCAGCTGAATAACTAGTCACTTTTGGTCAGCACACAGAGGTTCTCCAAGGTGGTCGAGTGCAGCGCTGGCATCGGGGACCAGAGTAGGCCTCAGATGCAGACTAAGGAGGTGGCTGGAAGGGAAAGGCTCTCTCAGGATGAGAAGCTGCCTGGTTTTGCCTCCTGCTTGCCCTCAGTCCCTACCCTCAAAACTGTAAGGAAAGGGAAACGACCCTCTTGGTCCTTACATGAAGACACTGCCTGGAAGTGCAGGGGTATGGGGAGTGGATGAAGTCCTGAGTGAAATATATGTTGACACAGGCTCACCCATGTCAAGACCCCAATGACTCAGACCCATGGGAATGGCAAAGCCTTCCTTCCACAGGCGAGGCTCAGAGAGACAGCGAAGCCTCCTCTGGTCCAAGTACATTTGCTGACTAGACTGACTCCAGCTAAAACCAGTGTATCAGCTGTGGACCACAGCTTCCTTCTCTGAGATGTTTACAACTTGAGACTTTCCCCCTACAGAGACCTCCCACCAAAACCAGCTAGCCCCTCCACCTTGTGCTGAGTTCCTGGGGTTAGGTGCCCTCCATCAGAGTGAGCACTGCCCACCTGATCCCAGCTTTTCCACACATGTGTCTGTCATTTCTGTATTCCCGAGTCACCCCAGCCAAGTTGTCAGGGCTGACCCATGCAGGACACAGCACCAGGGGTATCAGGAACCTTTTGGAGTCTTCCTTTTAGCAGCAGAGCAGTAACCAAACAGAGCAGCTTAACCTCAGGCCAGGGCTTTCGACAAGGGAGCCACACAGTCATGTCGCCCTTGTAGAGATTGTGTAGGCTTCTACTTTGGAGGGCACCCAAAGAAAAGACCAAAGTTCTGGCAGGCAAGCTTTTATGAGATGTGTGGTCCCCACACAATGAACAACCAGTGGATGGGTAGCCTCATTAGCCAGATGGGTCAGGCCAGGCCAGTGTGGCTTCAGAACCACAGACCAGAGCCCAGATTGCCTTGGCTTCATTCAGGCAGACTGTGGCCAGGGAAGAAGGGCTGTAATGCACCCTGCAGGGCAGGTGCCAAGTGGAGGAAACAGAGGCCCCTTCCATTCCTGCTCTCTGCTTCCATCCCTGCTTCAGATGAATATGAAATGTCCTCAACACCCCAGACTGTGGCGCCACATGGAACCAGGTTTTGTTTGATGGAGTCTTGGGTGCCCCAGAACCCTGCCTGTCATGAAGTGATGGCTGAAATTTATGTTTTAGCCTTGCTCTGATCTTAGGCAGAATATCTCACCATAAATTGGCATGCCATGGCAAACAATTAAAAGAGAAAAATAAACCTCAGTGCAATCTCAGGGTGCTTGGAAATGAGGAATTACAAGGTGGTGGCATGAAAAAATTATATAAAAATCTATTTTTACATCACAATAATGTGCTTTTATACGGGTAGTAATTTCTGGATGTGCAATAAAGTGGCTTTTACATCAGGCAAAATCAGAGTTTATAGGCAATCGGTGCTTTTATCTGGGAAAATATAACTCACTCTTCCTCACACCATCCATCTTGCAGGCAGCAGGCCTCATCTTCCCCAGCACCAACATTACTGTGGAAATAATTATGCAATTAAAGTGTCAGACCTCTGGCCCCCCAGGTTCCCTGTACTACATCTTCCAGCATCTGTCATTGGCTCCTTCCGAAAGTG